ATTTTCTAGCTGTCAGTCAGTGAAAGTGAGTTGTTGCTTCAACATAGTACAGAGGGTAGAGCATTTGGGACGAGAAACATTAAAAAACACCCACAAAAAAACAACAGAAAAAAAGAAAAATCACCTTTGGAGGAAACATTGATTCATTTAAAATTGCTTCAAAAAGCTGTTATTGCTCCAGGATCAATTTGGTTTGTGTCAAAATTCTGGATAATGCCAGAGCTTTCAAGTAAAAACATTCCTAAATGTAAACTTATCTTTAATGTTTACAGTGGACACTCAAATCAATAATGATAGTTAAGTACTGAAGCAAATTATGCTTTGCAGACCCAAACCCCTCTTCCTTCTTAGAGCCTTCATCAAAATCACTTCCAAACAGAAGTGACATTAAAATTCTGCAGAACAGCCAGCTCATGTGTAAACAGCTAGATGTACTGCCAAGAGGAGAGCTTGTCTTTAGAAGTTGATCCTGGATTTCAGTTTGGAGTGTTTCACCATTGCTTCTGGAAAAAAACCTAACTGAAGCTGCAGTAATTTTTTTGTTCGTTTATGTGTACTACATAAAAAGAGTCTGTTTACTTCCAAACTGCTAGAAATGCAAGGAAATTCAGTCATTTAAACATATTCTTACCTTGTTTTAACTATGAGAACTATTGTATCAGGAAAAATTTTTACCAGCAGAAAACAAGAAAAATTTCCACTTCAGAGGTTGCATTCAATCAACACTTCCGGGGAAAAGGAAGTTGGTGGAAGTTTCAATTCTTGATGCCTCAAAATACCCCTCTTGAATAGCTGCTTAAACTCTTCACTAGAGTATTGTGGAGACTTGAAACATGCTCACTAGTTCAGGTGTTGTATTACCCACATCAGCTAAGTTTTAAACCTAAGAAAAAAGTACTTGTAGTAACCTTGCAAAATTTTTAATCGGCATTTTCTAGTATAAAAAACAAATATTAATCACATTCTCTTATTACCAGAAGCACGTTTTCTTCTCTCAGATGTTGAATTAGACTGAATTTATAGGACTAATTGTTGTAATAATTAAAGAGACAAAGTCGGGCTGTTCTCTGTGAAACAAACTCAAACTTTTCCCAACAACTTGAAACTTCAGAAGTGTAACAATCTATTAAAAATTGGAGCCATCGCATCATCTGTGTTGAGCTTCCTTTACTTGCTCCACTTTAAGAACAGGAATTTCCAGGGAAGTACCTTCAAAGCTGACAAATGCCACATATCGCTGCAAATTCTTAAAGCAAATAAGCTTTTCCACAACTGGGAGAGGAGCTAGTTGCCTGTCAGGGATCTTTAATTTTGTAGAGTTTAGGTCTGTTTTCTCCCCTCAGTGATTATTCATAGCCTTCGAAGGCTGAGTGGGTTTCTTCCTTTAGTGAGGACACCTACTGTATCACTAAAATGGAGAGAGATGCTCGTTAACATGTAGTATTCAAGGAGGAAAACCGCATTTATTTACCAAACTACATCAGGGAACAATAATCAGCTGCTGCTCCTATCAAACATATTTTGTTTGATCGTGGATACATTAGCTCATTGTCAGTGTCAATAAATGGGCTGTACTTGCTTTCTGAAATTTTCCAGCAATCTTAGTTCCACGCAGAGACCTTAAACCACGCAAACAAGCTGCAAGATTCAACCTAATTCACTAATGCTTAACTGAAATGCTGCTTCTGCAATACAAAGATAGACATAACAAGTTTTGAAGGAACACAGTCTTTAAGATGAGCTGTTTTCCTCTGTAATCCCATAGCCATTGACATGGCAGACCCACAGCCAAAAACACAGTGCAGTTTTAGAAATGGGCTTATCCTATAGTTCGGGCCAATTCCAATAATTAACTCCAGTTCTTACAGAGGGAGATTTGAATGAGAGACTTATAAAAGGACCTCAGTATTATGCATGACTAAACTACTGCTCCAGAAACTTAAGTAGTTCAGAATAACCACACACCATATCTGAAGCAATTACTTGGGAAAATATATATCAATGAGAGCAAAATAAAGTTAATTTTTTCTTCAGACAAACAAAATTTTCCAATTACCTACAATGACAAGTAATTGTTTACTTTAGGATTTGTTCTCTCCAGAATAAAGCATAATGTTTTCTTGAACATTGAAGCGTTGACCAAATACAGAAATATCAATCCCCTTTTCATTTTGCAGTTAGCCATACTGAGTGTCGCTTTAAATAAAATTTACTTCAAGGGAAAGGAGCTAATGAAAAATTTAATTCTTAAAATCAACTTCACACAATGTGTTCTGTCTAGGGTGACCTTACAGAGAGGTTCTTCACCAGACAGACTAACTGACGATTAAGCGAGCTAGGCTGATGCAGCAAGTGATCCAGGAGGCAGGAAAGGATGATTTTAAACCACCAATATTTCTAAATTCAGATCTTCAGCTTTTCCATGTTCTAAAGAACAAATCAACAGTATACTTGCCTCATTTAGAGAGGAGTTCTTCATGAAACAATGCAATGAGTTGCTTGGATAAAAAACAGAGGACCACCATTCTTTGGCAAAATGCTTGAATTCCTACAATTATTTTGTCAGCCACATTTGATGTGCTGTTGGCTATTAAGGGTACTTTCAACAGGACTTTGACCCTATGCCAGTTAGTTCCTTAATACATTTTGAATAGACTGTCACTGAAATCGCTACTGAAAAAAAATTTAGATGATTACGAACAACAAATGCAAGGCTGACAGCCTGGGAAGCATCGAGATGTAAAAAATTCAGTCCTAAGATTCTCAAAACCAAGTGTCTGAAGACTGGGAACTGGAAGAAAGTTATAGTAACAGTGAATACAGTGGTTCAATTAGGATGAAAGGCATCATCAACGAAATTCTACAGAGGAATTTGCAGCAGTCTTTTCTGGCAGCAAGAATGCAAGCAAAACCATAATTTCTGTCTTCTAGCACAGTGGCTGTTGAAAGGAAGTGCTATTATGTTTGAAAGGAAAACATTTAAAAGAATAGAAGACATTCTTAAGGTAGTACATAAAGTATCACTGTTCCTTTTAAAAGTCTAGCAAACGGGTACAGAAAAGACAATCAAGGGATTTCTGAGATTCTGAGCTCAGTTTTTGTTGATTATGAACTAGCAAGCCCTTTTTATAGGTAGCTGAAGTTTTACATCATGAATCATCTAGCACAGCTGTACTTTAAATTTAACCATGTTTTCATTTGTTAGGACAATGAAGAATAGACAGATGAACAAAACCTGTTTTGGAAGAACTCAAAGGACAGCTTTAATATGCAGACTCTTTCTGATCAGACAGCCAAAAATGAGGAAAATAATGTGCTTTAGTTCAACCAGAGGTCAAAGATTTAGTCTATGTAGAGTTTCAAAGCCTGGAGGCTCCCTGAAAGACTTCAGATCAATACCACTCTGTAGCAAAGTAACTTAAAATGCTTTTCTTGAATTTAGTAAGAAATACATAGCAGAAACTCAAAATGTGATTGTACAAAAGCAGAAAGCTTTCGAATGTTTTGAAATTAAGCTCAAGTCCAAGTACAAAGTACCATTTCATATACATCTTTTATAAGTTACCCATTTGTTCTTAAAAATCACAATTTCTCCATCAGTCAGAAGTATAATCTACTCAGGACTGATGCAGAAATTATCAGTAAGAAATTCTGCTAAAGAAAACATTTCACTGAGCTACACTTTTGTAAAGGAGGTTCAAATTCTCCAAGCAAAATTTTATTGCCAATAGATAACTTCTAGTTATTAGATTTCTTCTCACTAGTTATTCAGAGAATACTTCCTTCTTAAACTGAAAAATATATCTTAACACAAGTATTGAAATTTTCATTCCAAAGTAAAGAAATTCTTAGCAGAGCAACCATTAGCCCTTACATCAGATTTACACAAACTGAAATTACCAAGAAGGAACTAAACACTGTAAAAAAACTGGCCTTGGCAGTGTGAATTGAAAGCATTCAGAGAGAAGTTTAAGAGTGCACTAGGAACCTGAACAAAACCTATGAAAATCAAATGAAAGGTTTTCAGTGAATACATAATCAAACCTATCTGATGCATGTGGAGTCTAAATGAAGTTAACCAGTATGGTTTATGAGATTACTTCAAATAACCACCATACTTTTTAGAAGTAACCTTTCATGACTAAAATAATCCACTCAAACACTTCATTGCATCACTGCATCAATTCGCTTCATGTTTTCAACCTTCCTCCTTCCTTCCTGCTCCCCCTCAAGGGAAGGTCTCATGTTGGTGGCCAACCTGTGCAAAAAACAGAGCAAAAAACCAACCCACCTCCCCACACCAGAAAACTGCGCTTTACCAAACATCAAGCTGCAAAAGCTCATGGATGTGCTATGAACTGTGCTTTAGCAGCAGAGGGATGCAAAACCAGCAAGCTGCCTCCAACCCCCTGTGCTTCAAGGAGGCCTCACGTACGAGACCTGGAAGCTTTCAGTAGTCCTAACACCCAAATAGTCTTTCCCACGAAGGAGCAGCCATCACTTCTTTACTTCTCCACAACTTCCTGCAGTATAACAAGCCCTTAAGCTTTCTTTCCAAAAGACTAAAGCATAAAACCATCTCAACATTCTCATTTTCACAAGTTTTCCATACAAAAATATCTCAAAAACTCAGGATGAAAAAACCATAGCTTTCGAAAACCATGCTTTTTTTTTACTTAAAGTAACACTGCAGAGGACATTGTCCTATGTCTGCTTCAGGATCAAGACTACTTTAAAATCAACACAGTTCAGTGATCTTCAATTCTTTCAAAACAGGTGATATCCTGGTTCTCAACAGACATTTACTATGACAATTTCCTTAAATCAATCCCAAAACATTGCAGAGGTAACTTGGTGAAATTGTCATGCTTACAAAAAAGTTACCTACACACAGAGGTTAACAACAATGTAAAGATTGCACTGCCAAAAAGCATGCTGAATAGTGCACAAACACAATGAAACATTATTAATGCTTCTTTTTACATTTGAAAAGCTCATACCTGGGCACACGGCCTGTTAAACTTCTTTCACTTGACGATGAAGATGATGACGATGATGATCCAGGTCTCTGATCTGTTTTCATTCCTAGAGTCTCTGTTGCACTAATCTGAGGTTTCTCACCTTCTTCTTCTGGCTTTTTTTTTTCGCTATCACTTTCATCACTGCCTTCTCCTAAGATGTCGTCCACCTGCCAAAGAGTAGAGAGTCAGTGTATCTGCTAACAGACTATTCTATATCAATCTTTCATAATTATTGGATTGCTCTTAAATAATCGTTAAGAACACGCTTCAACTTTCCTTGACCTTCTCCTTCAAAATTCAAATTAAACCCCACTGCCTTCAACGCAGTTTCTGTAACAGGTCTAGCTACATTCTATTCACGTGAAATGTATTTAGTCTATGTTTAACTTTAGATATACCTATACTCACATTCGTGATACAGTCACATATGAAGGTGTTTGCACTTTATTATAACATGAACAGCTGTAAACAAGAAACTGTATTATGAAAAAAAAAATGCTCTTACAAAATTAAAGGGATAGATGCTTTATACTATTGTAACACATAATAACATACACTTTATACTATACATATTTTATACTATTATAGCCTATAGAATCACTTGAGCAAGGCATATTAAAATCTCTAGCTAATAAGTATTCTTATGTTTACAGGTATTCCTTGATAGATGTATAACTTTAAAGACGTGTATTCCTAAGTAATACAGTATGAATGAAACAGAACGTACAGAAGCCCATTCAAACCAGACTGCTTATGCTAATTACTGAAAACAAAGCTATCAAAATGTTTACACATTTCATTAAATAATTGTTTGGCCTTTGCTTCTGAAAAGTTAGAATGGGATTTGATACTCCTCTAAGAACATGCTAATTTGCTCTGACAGGCCTGGAACTGCTGAAACTATCATTAAAAGCAAATCATACTCATGAGCTACCCTGCTGAGCTTCAAAAGGTTATATTCTCTTTGAGTCAGCATTCCACCTTCAGAAAGAGATGAAAACATGAGAAAACACAGGTGAAGATCCCACAGTGTCTCTATCTTTGTGAATACCAGAGGACATGAAAACAAGCTACGAGTATTTCACTATTGATATTTAAGAATTTTTCCTAAAAGCAGCTTATCTCAGCATAAGTTAAAACAGGCTTCACAACTACTCTCTGTTCTCACACATGCCACACCTGCTTTATAAAGAAGAAAAACTCTGTATATGAACATGGCCCAGAAGATTTTACACTGCTTATCCACTGCTTTTACACTGATAATCCCAACAGCTAGAAGAAAGCTGTAAGTCACTTATATTTCACCTTTCATAAATGTACCTCTAATTTCTTTGTTTACTTTGATATGCACAGAAGGAAAGTCAAAGCTGCCCTCTCTTTACCAAACAAAATGCAAAAGACCTACACCTTGCCAGTACTCTACTAGAAATATGGTAGAGAAAGGGAACTTAAGGGAGAGCTTGCAAGCAAGGAGGGAGAGGAAATAGAAAATACCTAAGTTTAGTAACAGTCAAAGACTTATTCCATTTCTTTTTCTGATGTCCTAACAGAGAGAGAAAAGGCGTATGACCCACAATGATGAAGGTGCTCCACAGAGCAATTTCACCAAGCACATAGGTGACTCCCATCACACTCCTGTTGACTTCAGAAAGATGGAGTATGTGGCATCTGTCTTCAGTCCTCTGCTAAACGGATATATTTGGGGGATTTATTATCATTCTACAAGCCTCACGCAGCTATTCCTGTTTGAGGGTAGTAGCAAATAATTTTTTGTCCTAATCTTGTGCTCCTTTCCACTGAGGATTCTGCCAATTTGTATTGCTGCAAAAGAGAAATGATGTAGAAGGAATAATAATAATAAAAAGGTAAGTAGTACTTCAAAGCATCCTAAAATAATACTTTTGAGAAGACTTGCCAGTGTAAGGGAAAGCAAGGACATTTTGTTACAAAGTATACTTGTGAAAAAAAATTTCTTTAAATCTGTAATTGTTTCAGAGTCTTACAATTGAAGCTTTAAAACTGGATTTAAAAACGCGGGCTATACTATCCTTGGATGGAATGACTTCTATATAAAACGAAAACTAACTTGCAAGCTTCTTAGATTTACAATTCAAGCTTGTTTTCCATTGGCCCTTGTCTTGGTACATTTTTACTACCTGAAACATTGCTGTCTAATGCCCAGCTCTTTCATTGTGAAAGCTGTAAAGAAGCCATAATAAAAAAGGAACACCGTATCAGCTTAGTGCATCTAAACACAGATGACATTTCAGGTAGAAACTTCAGGAATTGCTGTGCCAAATCAAATCACGTTAATCCAAAAATGCTTTTTCCATGACCAGAAGTTGTCATACCCATAGAAAATAAGAATCACGAAATGCAATCCAGGGCCAGGGAGACTGAAAAGATGGCTAGAGATAAGCCAACAGTGAACCTGGTAAAAGTGCGGAAAGTACACATGGTGGGGATTTTTTGATGTGTACAGAATTTATGTGTATCTTTGTTAGAAGATACTCCCTGTAGACAACATGGCCAGCAACTGACAGTCAAATGACAGCACAGATCTACAGCTCCAACAACTCCTTTCCGGTAAGTCTCACATTTAAAATTCAAGTCCTTCATTCCAGAAGCAATGCTTTTCCAGAAAGTCGTATGTCTAAAACTATGTTTTCACTATAAAATATGTTAAGGTTTTCAAGGACAAAGTCAGGTTGAGAGACATTCAGATGCCTCTCAAACTGAACTTTTATAGTCTTTTAAAAATCTACTTTGTGTGAACAGTTTTGACAGACTAGCAGTCTAGTTATTGCCATGCCTTTTCGCACAAAGATGACATTCTTTTGAAGTCTGGAATGCCATTTAATATTAGAATTACTAAGTTAGTTGTGAACATACATGGCCCATTTCTGTAGAAAGGCATTAAAAACGCATGATGTCTGAATCATAGAAATATGTCAAATTTTGAAAATCATTGCACATGAAAACAATTCATGTGGGATGGTCCTTACAAGCCACTTTAAATAGACTGGCTCCCAAAATACGGATTCCTGCCTAACTATTGACTAAATTGCACACTGTGCTGAAAAATGTGAAGATTACTGTCTTCATCTTCCAGAATTCTCAAAAGAAATGGAAAACAAACTACGTTTTCATTGAGGCAGCGAGATTGAAGCTCTTCACTTGAAAAAATTAATAGGTAAAAAAAGCACATTAACATTTAAGCAGCAACTATCTACCTAAACACATCACTAACTTTAAATAAATGAAAAAGTTCAAAGAAAGAGGAAACTTTCAATCTGGTTCAGACCAAGACAGATACTGATGTACCAACTACAACTTCTGCTTATAACATTAGATTTTACATGATTAATACAAATGGAACATAACACTTCAGAAGAAAATGCCAGCTAATACCAAATTTTACTGCTAAGATACAGTGATGGGATGTTTACTGCTTAAACACTACCATACCAGCTATCTTTAAAATACTTAAAGACTTTTATAACACAGCAAGAATGATTAACATTGAAAAAGAAAAATGATTCATCCCTTGAAGATGACAAATTGTTCCATTTAGCAAGAGAATGAAAAGTCTGACAATTCCTTTAAACACCTGATGATAAAAGCCAGAAAAAGTCCTCAGCTGACAAAGCTATTTTACTTCTCATTTAGGAGAAACACAGCATACATTCATGCAGACAAAATAAAGACCAAGGAGCAATGAGATTTTCAGTCTTATTTTCCGATTATGAGCTGTAAAGTACCTAAAGCTTTGTTAAAAGGAAAGCCAAAACCTTCTGTACTATTAACAAACCGGGTCAGCTGGAAAATGTTCTTAGTCCAGAAGTTGAGTTTACACATTCAAAATGAATCAAGACTGAGTAAACATCAAAAAAGAAACTGTCATGAGCAACCTCAATTATCTTTCTAGATAATTTACAGGCAATGTTTTGGGACAGCAATATGGATTTGACGGAGATGATCTCTCTTAAAACCAGTAATTTTTTTTGAAGAAGCAATTACATAGGCAGTAATGTCAACCACTTACTAAAAAGTGAGCCGTAAATAAACTTTAATTCTTGTTTTTAAACTAGCAAATATTTAAAAATTCAAGTTTTAATAGAACTGAGAAACTAACTACCTTAGACAGTAGCAGGACCACACATGTAACTACCTAAATGATCTCTCTTAAAACCAGTAAAACACTCTGAATCAATTCTTTATTGGAATTACAGAAATTTCTACAAGTTTGATATACAGCTGTTCATTTTGTGCTCCAGTTTTGCATGAAAGACACACATAATTTCTGCTCCCCCCGCCCCGTCCTTCCCAAAGGGCCAATTATACTTTTGCTCCAACTGACTGTGTAAGTTAAGGGAAAACCAGAAAAAAACCAAGTATTTCCAAAGAGTTCATTAGGTTTGTTTCTATTGCCACAAAAATGACTGTTCATTGTTAGCAATGGAAACAATTGAACCGTTATTGACAGTAAGCGCAGATAAAAAACCAACTGCATTTCAGCGTAAAGCCTGTGTCTCCTAAGCACATACTTGAGATTATGTTGAGTACGTTGCATTTTAGGAAGAACTTGCAGATACTAATATAATTTGCCATCTGAATGTGCCAAAAGGTTTCAATACATACCTTATATCTGCCCCTCCCCCCCCCCCCCCCCCAAAACATAAATTCATAAAAATAACTCTAAAATGAAATTAAGATGTCCAGGTACACCAGTAATTGCAGGTATCCCCATGTAAAACATGGTATTCTCTATAAAGACTTTAAAATGCTGCCATATTTGGGGCCAGGGACCACGACGCCCTCTTAGTAGTTATTAAACATGAAAGCTAGCAGGCCACCAACTCTATCCAATTAGTGGGTAAATTGATGCTCTGCAAACAAATACCAGACTAAAAAAGGCAAACAGAGGTTTCACATGCCAATTCAGATTTCACTAGCTTTGTCTACACTGCATTTCTTTTAGTACTCTTTCAATTAGCTGAGTAAGTCTGACTCTTAGTGATTCTGGTCAGGACTATATACCTAACGTAAACATGACAAATACCAATTTGTTTAATACACATCTCAAACTGTACGTGTACAATTAATTGAAATGTAACAGGCTGGTGATCTTGAAAAAATTAATCATGAAATGTACACCACACCTTTT